CGCGGGCCCCCCCCGCCCCCTGGCTTCCCCCGAGGCTTTGCAAAGCTGTGGGGGGGCAGCCCAGGCGTGCCTGGGCTGCCCTGCCGCCTGTATACCCGGCGTATAAGATGACCCCCGATTTTTGGGGGATGTTTTATAACATCAAAAGTCGTCTTATACGCCGGAAAATACGGTAATATGTAGCTCATTTTCTAAGGCTGAAGATGGAAATAATAATGGAAACGCTAATTACTTATTGAAGTGGGTGCTTACAGGATACTACAGTGCTTCCTTCACAAGAGTGTATTAATGGTCTGTCTTACTATTTAGTTCTGGGTTGAATTTTCTTCTCTGTATTCTAGAATAACGATAAGTGCCTTGAGATCATTGACTGACCTCTTTAGGTATGAATTGATCATGAAGCCATCACTAAATTGCTGGTGTTAACTGTGTCTGTTCCAACCTTTTCAGTTCGAAAGCCACGCTATGTCAGACGAGAGCGGTCGTTAGTGATGTCTACCTCCGCTGCTATGGTCCCTTCTGCAGAAACCCGAGTCAGCAATGTTTAGCCTTCAGGACTTAACTGAGGACTACATAAATATGGAGAAGCTCTCTGTATCGACTGAAATGTCAGGAACAGCTGATCTGTAAGCAAGCCGAGCCACTGTGTCAAATGGGTTTGTGCCAAACGTGGAGAGAGGAGTTCAACTAATGCAAACTTGATGACTGTAAGACCTATCCAGTTCTGTGAACCGCTTTGATGGGCCTGAGAAGTACTTTTCCAGCTTTTTGGTTTCATTTATCTCCTAACAAGAAGCTACACTAAAATCTGCAAAGAATCTGCCTTTTTTGAGAACACTTTCAGCTTTGACAAAATCCTTTTTCCTGCCTTATCAGCTCTCAGGCTGTAGAGCAGAAGCCCCCAGGGCAGCAGTCCATTGTAGAATTTGGGGAGTAATCCAGGAGGTGGGCTTGTTTAAAGAACCTGTTTGTAAATGTTAATTCTAAGTGCCATGGTTTTAATGCTGCAGAAAAATACAAATGTACTTTACATGCAGCATCTTGATGCAAAAACATGCCTTCAGAAGCATCTTCAGCTTCTCAGTCAGAGAGGACCATTGTTTTTAACTGCAGAAGACTGTGATCAGTGTGGGTCTGATCTAAAGCCCGGGAAGCTGATGGGAGATTTTTCCAGTGAATTTAGTGGGCTTTTAGATCAGGTCTTACGTGAGAATCCATTGACTGTGGCTTTGTAGTTGATAAGCTGCTATTTCTGCCCCACTGAGACACCCAGCCTTTCCTCACTCCAGTGTTTTGTGAATTTGGCTGTTGCAGTCTATAGGAAGGCAAACTCTCTAAGCTAGGTTAAGCTACCTTGATTCCCTTTGGTGAACATTTGCATACATCCATTTCAATTAGAGTTGTCATTGGAGTTCTCACCAGCACAAGTAAGAATTAACAATCTAGTCCTCCATTCTCATGCATAAGGCCTACAGATCTGCACCTTAGCCTTTGAGTTCCCCCGCACATGACCTGCCTTTGTTTAAACCTCACAACCACAATGGGTCCTCTAGATGAAATGACACATGGTGGATTTTTGTCACCAGCTAGTGGTAGCCATCTTGATTTCAAGAACCTAACAATTGATTCTTATCTTTAAAAATGCTAAAATAGCACTATCTGGCCAATGTGAGACCAATGTGAAGAGTGCAAACCTCATGGCTCGGATGCCTTTCTCTGCCTGTGGTCAGAGGTTTGTTCAAAGCTGTACAGTAATGTCTGGGGGGCAGGAAGGAGCTGCTAGTCTTTTTTATCAAATATCTATTTTTATGCACTTTTTAATGTAGTGTAAATTGTTTGAATTTCTTGAGAATGGAACCTCTCATTTTGCAGTTTTCCTCTGGGGAGGTCAAAGACAGTAGGGTTAAAGATGAAGCCATGAACAAGCAGGGCTTTGTAGCCATACATATTGAATCACTATATATGTACAACTTTGCATCCCCTTCTTTGATTACATTCCAACCTAGTTTTAATTGTCAAACTAAACAGCACAATAAGTCAGGCTGTTTGAGAGGCAGTTTCCATTCTTAAGTACTATATTTGTATAATTTGTCTGTTCCCAAACCAGGATGGCAGTGTTGCCAGTGGCTTTTTTTTTTTTTTTTGGTCTGTTTTCAATGTATCAATAGGATTTACCTCTGATACCAATGATATTTTGCGGTGGTAGGAAGGCACGGGGCAAGTGTCAGAAGCAACTTAAACTTATAGGGAAAATAAGTAACTATGCAATGATACAATGCAAAGATATTACAGCTTTGACTGGAGTTTCTGCCTATGAATCTGTCAATGTAACTACATACTTGCATGCGCAGATGCTCATCAATTCTTTCCATACATGACTCATTGATGGGTCATTCTCTCCATTGCTGTGTGGGGATTGTCACTAGCCCATGTCACTGCTACATGTATGTATCTGTCTGACCCTTAAGTGCATCACTGTAACAGGTTAGTGCCCCTTACCAGATGATTTGTTCTCCCTTATCCCTAAAACAGAGTTGAGATTTCTCACTGCTAACAGGAACTTTTTCTGTCAAAGTTTGTTGTATTTGAAAAATTTATTTCCATGGGCTTTGTAGCTTGCTTAGATTACATTCATGCTGTCTGACCCAGCAGGATCACTGGACAGAACCTGCTTAAGGTTTTTTGTACTGTTGTGTTAAATACATAGTGTGGAGTTGTTTTCTTATCCATACAACTGGCTTTACTGAACACTTGATGACTGCATCTTGAGCTATAAATGGTTAATTCAAGGACAAAGGATGGATATTTAATGTACTAGGGTATTTTTAAATTGTGCCAAAATAAACACCTTTCAGCTTTTTAACTATTGTTGAGGTCCTGCATGTATTTCCTATCTATGCACAGGAAGAAAGGGGCAAACTTTAGCACAGGAAGCAAATCACTGATCCGTGAATCTCACTTGGTATGTTGCGTCTTCTAGAGCTCAGATTTCTGGAAAAAGTAAAATTGTCCCTAGTTCTCCTGTTCAGTTATACAATATGATAGCAGGATAATAAGAGGGTAGGGGACATAATTCCTTGATGCTTGCAGAGAATCTGTTTGCCTCCAAAGCAGTTAAACGTGTCCCTTTAACTTGTTTAACCATTATTTGCCTCCAAAGCAGTTAAACGTGTCCCTTTATAATGGTTAAACAAGTTAAACATTCATTTATGAGGATCTAAAGCAAGGAATACATCACCCTTTATCCCTGAATTTAGAAGTGATAGGCCAAATGCTCTACTGGCAATAACACCACTGAAATCAGTGTTATAGTAGCTGAGAATTAGGTCTGAAGTAAATGGTGGCTTAAATTTCATATCACTGAGTTGGCATAACTTTATGCCGATTTTGTACCAAAAAGGGGAGCAAGAAAACAATCTAACGTGGTGAGGCTGTAAGGTGGAGTGAAAAACTTGTAAATATAAACAATAAGTTCTGTTTAGCTATAAGCACATTTTTACAGATCTCTAACCCCTTCATAGTAAGGCATTTGCAGTAAATCATTTTTATCGTAAACGGGGTTGTGTCTTGTTCAAATGTACTTTGCAAAATATTTGGGGTATCAGTGAGAGCTGAGCCAAATGGAAAGACTGGTGCACAATCGGACAGCTGATCTAGGGTTAAATAAATATAAAGGTATTTGTTCTTCCGGAAAGCTAGTAAAAGTAAGCATCAAGTAGTAATTTTATGTAGATGGAAAATGCTATTTTCCTCAAACTTTGTCTAGGAGCAAGGACAAGCCAAATGATTTTGTACCTTTTGTGTAGCCACTGGGGGAAAAATCCAAAAACGCAAGGATGATAGTGCAATGTATGAAAAATTGGCATTGAAAATGATCCCATGAGAGGGGAAACTTGCCGAGTCAGTTACCTGGACTCTGAGCCAAAGCACATGCCAAAACAACCTTGAAGATGAAGTGGTCAGTGCCTGAGTTATTAGCCACTTGATTGAGTTCAATAGCTGGAACAGAAAGCAAACTTGAGAGGTGTAGGAGCTAAGTAATGTACAACACTAGAGAACAGTTTGAGGCAGCCTATAGAATGTATCTGCCAGGAGCTCTGTCTCTTCTAAGATAGTCATGTCACCAGCTGAGGGTGCATGTATATTGTCTCATACTGTCCATTATACTCTTCTCAGTACAATCACTTTTTGGACAATATAAAGCAGCAGATTACTCAAATCTGGCACCCAATTATATATATTCTTTCCAAAATGCTGGTGCTGGCATTTTACTGCTTTAAACTGGCCGTCCTCTAGCCAAGTACAGCAGCAGTTCATCTCTGTATCGCTGGTGTCTGGAAACCTATGTCCAGCCTCAGTTTGGGCTCTAATTCAAGTCACTTATGGCAGGGCCAAGAGGGGGAGGAGTCCTAACCTTAGAGTTAGCAGCCCATACAGATTTACAAAAACTACCTGTCTTGAGATTGCCTCTTGAGCCTTTCTTTCATTCCACCCCAGGAAAGTTTTCCAAGGAGTGTCTCAAGGAAATGTCCACCGGCTCTTAAGAGAATTGTACCACGTCCTTTAGGGTAAACTCAAGGACAGGCGGAAGTCATCCTGAAAAAGAAAGCAGTAGAGTGGGCAAAAGGTGGTGTGAGCTGGGGAATAAAAGACAATGTTTCTGTCTAGGCAAATGTCTTAGCTTAGGCTCATCCTTGAAGGCAACTGCCATCCACCTTTCTACACGTTCGTCTGTACAGCAACAAGGAGTGGGCTGAGGAGGCACCAAGCATATGCAGGATGGCCTAAGTCTCCCCCCATCCCCCCCGACATGTAAGCCCCACATAAGGGCTGTGCAGTTTGGTTTAACGAGTTGAGTGCCCATGTGAGTGTCACCTAATGCAACCTCCCCCCACCACTCCGCACCAGGCTCACCTTTTGGGCTACAAAACAGTCTCCACAATGATACAATATCTGTTGGCTTCACTAGGAGTTGTACCTGCTCAAACCAGAGATGATTTAGTCCTGTGTTAGCATTATCATGGGTCAACATGTGCTTTAAGGAACATGCCTAGGGGCTTGATTTTTGTGTTGAGTTTTGCTTGCATCCCTCTTGCTACAAGACACTCTGAAGTCTATTAGCATGTATAACCTCCTTTGCATCTTTTGTCATTTATTTGTAATGCTGCCTGGGAGGGAAGAAATGGAATGGTGTAAACTTGATCATTTTACAATCTGTGCCTTGCCGTATTTTCATTTACTGATTGGATGCAACAGAACTCGGATATATCCCAGCTTCCAAAAGACCCTGAGTTACAGAAATACAATTACAGGTGAAACCCCTCTAGTTCAGCATAGGAATGAAAACTCCTGGTTCATAGATTAATTGGTTCAATGGTAGGCTAACCTAACATTTAACCAGTTAACTGATTTATGTGAGATCCAGGTAGAAGCCCATGGGCTTCCGGCACCCAGCTCACACGAGCTAGGACTCCCACTGGCTCCCAGCCTGGCAGCAGAGGCTGGCTCTGATGGTCCTGAGTCCCCAAAGGAGCATCCCCTAGCCATGGCAGGATGGGCTCCCTGTGGACAGAGGCTGTTCTAGATGAGAGCAGCCTCCATCCAGGGTGGGCCCTCTCTGGGGCTGGAGCAACACCCTGCCTGGTTAACTGGAAATGGTAAGCATAGCCATTAAGGGTGCAGCAACATCCACCATCTGGCATGATTTGAGTTAGCTCTGAGAGTCAGGACAGGGGCCTGTAAACAAACTATGGGATCACAGAAAACATGACCATGTCCATGGTAAGTGGACATCTGGCTAAGTAACAGAAGACATTTAGGGGTAAGTTGGTGTTCTGTGCTAAGCACCCAGTAAGTGGTTAGCACAGAACACCAACTTACCCCTAAATGTCTTCTAAGCACCCAGTAAGTGGTGGTCGAACCTCTCTGGTCCAGCACCAGTCATGTCCTGAGGGTGCCAGACCAGAGAGGTTTGACCTGTATGTATCTTTACCCAAAGCACATAGAGGGTTGCATCATATCATATATAGTGAAACCATTGTTTTAAAAACAGTTCTCTAAGGTATTTGCTACAAAGGATTAGGATTTAACTGTCACCCTGGCTATTTCATGTGGGAGGGTCAGTTTCATTGTATAATGAGCACTGTTTATAAATAGATCATTGGTTTTGTTGCAGCCTCTCTTCCCTATACCTTCATATTCATCAAATGAAAATGCTTCCCTCTGTTTCACAACCTTCGTCCCTGTAAGAGTATAATCCTTACTTCCTAAAGAGCTAATGCTGATCCGGAGCGCTGCAGCACAATCTGTCAGCTCTTCTAATTGCTATGACCTCATAGCTCCCCATCCTGGTGATGTCATTGCCTCTGAAGATTTGATTTCAATCACTTCTTCCTTGTCTCCTCTAAAATATACCGCTTCACTGGCCTTTTATAACCATGGCTCTGTTTCTAAAGTTAATGCAGTGCTCTGCCCCAACCAGTCACTTTTCTGCCTCACATGTAGGTTGTGTTTCTTGGGCTCTAGAGCACCACTTACCTCATAAATAGACCAGAGCGGACAGAAAACAGAACCTTTATTTGTATGACCGCCACAAGCTGAAAGGTATTCCCAACCTTATGTGAAATACTAACTACCCCCAGGGGGGTGGAATGTTGATTCCAACCAGATGCATTTTTCTAAGCATTTTGTGGGCCATTTAAATGATACTCAAACTACTTTAATCAGTGTCTTAAAGTGATACAAAAATTGCTCTCCTGCTGGATGTACCAGCGCCAGCAGAGTTTACAGATATGTTTATGCAGAAAGGAATTCTTGGCTGATGGCTATTTTACATGTTATACAATAAGCTACCAATGTGTAAAGTATTAGGAAGTGAGCTATAATTAGTAAAGCCCAGATCACTAGTTGGTTGAAGGCATCTGTGATGAGAGATGCTATAATGAGAAACAGAACCTTGTTTAGCACCTGTGGCTGATTCAAATCCAGCTCAAACCATGAATGACCACAAATTGTTGCCATGCAATGACTGTTTGGCCTATGTGAGATGAGTTTGATGGTGTGACTCAGTTTCCCAATGAGTAAGTGGACATGTCACAAGCCACTATCAGAACAGCTATTAATTGGCCTGGGTGGCAGTCATGACAAAGAGGCCCAAGAACGAATGAGTGCACACACAGAACTTTCCTCCAATTGCTAAAGGACAAAGCTGAGAAACCGGCAAAGTGGCTTCTGCTCTGTATGATTCTAGGGAGATTAATTCAGGGACTGACTTTCTTCTCTCGTGCGGATGTAAATCAGGAATAACACAACGGAAACGAATGGAGGTACACCGGTGTAATAATGGTAGAGGAGGTTCTGGTACAAGGGCTATGGAGCCCCTTTCCATAACCATTAAAGGTATAAGGACACTTTAAAACAAATCCACAATCCATTATTATACCAACATATGCCGTTAGGTGTATCAGTTTGGGGAGCAGGGGAAGTCTTATTTGTTCAGCACTTTTTTATGCCTTGTAAAGCTCCAATGCTTTATAAATAAAGTGCCACCAACCAGTATATCGTGTGCACATGTTTGGAGGGGGTGTGTGTGGTTTTGTTTTTGTTTTGTTTTAAAGTAAGCCAGGCTCCATTTGAAGTGAGAGCTGACTAAACCTGAAACATAACTCATAGCGAGGTGAATAGCTTGGCACAAGAAAGCACAGGTGTGGATTATCAATAGCATCAGGGGCGGATGAGATAATGCATCTAAACACACAGTAACCTATGCAATGTGCATATTCATCAGAAGCAATCCAAAGACTTTATATATTTGTTCTGTAGCCAATTATTTTTGCAACCGTGCTTTGATCTCAGAACTGATCA